GTTGTCATGACCACTCTGATAAAATTAAACAGCAGGTTAAAGAGACTTACAGTAGCAGCTCAATTTAAAAGACTTCCTTCAGGGGTAAAATAAGGACAGAAGCCTTACTTTGAAGCTTAATTTCCGAAGTCTGTGCAGTGATTTGGAGATGTAATCTAGAGAATATGAGGATATAATGAGGAGCTTTTGATAGAGAGAGAGAGAGCTGTTCTGAAATGCAACACTGTTTTTCTTTTTTTGCATACATGGTTGCATGAAGAACTATCAATGAAACTCCACAAAAGATTCTTTGTAATTAAAATGATTGTTTGATTTTTACAAGTTTTTAAAGATGTTCTTTTAACAACTAATAGCTGTTTTATTGCAAATTTGTAAATAAAGCTTTGAAAACTAGACTTGAAAGACTGTCTATTGAAGCCTAGGCAATTTTGAAAAGTCAGTATGTTTATGAGGAAAATAAAAGGATGAGACCAACCTGAATACGTACCTCTATATACATTTCTAGAGAGCACCAAATACGTCCCAGGAGGTGCATTTTTTAAAATTTTTTGCAGGTTTTGTTTTAGCGGATCCACCAGAGGCTGCTGTGTATCTCAATGTTTTGTTACGAGTGCCACTTGTGCCTGCTGTTCTCACATAAATCCACCAGAGGCCGCTGTCAACAGACTGACTGACTGACTAATCGAATGACCCAGCCTCCTCGTTCCCTAAACCCACCTGATAGTGTTTTCAAAAGCACTGATTGACCTGGCCACCCACTTTCCAAACCCAACCAACAGTGTTATCAAAAGCAATCCAGAAAAACAAAAACCCTCGCAGCAGCCTGTTTTTTTTACAATTTTTTTTAGATTTTACCACATTCTCACCCTGTTATTTGCTTGTTTTTTTTTTTTTTTTTGTTTTTTTTTTGGCTTCTGTTTTTGTCTTACATGCTTTCTGGAACCATTTTATCAACAGACTCCAATCCCGTCGTTGTGATAAACTCCGCTCCACATCACAAGTCTGCCAATGTATACGGCGAGTAACTGGAAAAACTGCTAACAGCGGAAAAGGCGTCCGGTCAGCTGGTAAGCGTGAAAAGGAACGGGATCATACCACTCTGTAGTGTTTGTTTTATAAACTAAATGCAGCCATACGTACCTCTGGCTACATAATTCATGATCTCCAGAAATGTATATAGAGCTACGTTTTCAGAATGAGCCTATATGTTGGATGAAACATTTGCATGCTCATGAGAACAACTTTTTTTGTTTTATCACAAATCCAATAGATCCAATTAGGTTTGTAAATCCAAAGCTTAAATTTTTTGGGATATTATCAAAAAAAAAATTCTGTACTGTAAAGTCATTGTGTTATGCAAAGATAACAGTGTATTTAGTCACACTTTATTTTAAGGTACAATTCTTGCAGATGACTATGACTTTTAACTCAACTCCTAATTTGCTGCTTATTAAAAGTTATTAAAGTAGTTGGGTTTGGGTTAGGGTTAGTTAGATTAAGGATGTTAAATAAAGGCATACAGAATATGTACTTATTAATTAACAGAATATGTACTTATAATTAAAAACAGCCAATATCTTAATAATAGGCAGATGATAAGCCACTATATATAATAGTGACAATTGGTCCCTATGCTGAAGTGTTACCAAATATTTTCAAGTCTAAAAAAGCTGGATCAGTAATGTCTACTCTCAAATACACTTTGTAATCTTCTCTTTCGTTTCAGTTTCCTCATTTGTCAACTTGATGCAGGTGAATTAAAACATAGCATGAAACATATCCATATCTCTAGGATAAGATGTTTTCTAACTGCTGTTTTCCACTCACTGTCATTTTTCTTGTGCTTATTTTTTTATTGAAAGGAAAGAGGGAAGCTCCTTTGCATATTTTGATACACATCAAAATATAAGTATATCAGTGCAAAGGTTTTTCCAACTTTTAACATTTAAAAACAACAACAACAACAACAACAACAAACAAAAAAAACTTCATCTTAAAGTATACAAAGTGAATCTCCTGGAAATATGAATACTACATACAATTATACATTCATTCATTCATTCATTCATTCATTTTCTTTCAGCCTGATGTCTGATTTATCAGAGCTTGCCGAGGTGGAATGAACTATTGTGGAACTATTTTAGCATATGTTTTAAACAGCAGAAGCCCTTCTAGCTGCAACCCAGCACTGGAAAATACCCATGCATTCTTACATTCACTCACATTCTCATACACTACGGCCAGTTTAGTTCATCCAATTCATCTATAGCGCATGTCTTTGGATTGTGGGGGAAACCGGCGCACCCAAAGAAAACCTACGCCAACATATGGAGAACATGCAAGCTCCACACAGAAATGACAACTTGCCCAGCCAGTTCTTGAACCAGCGAACTTCATGCTGTGAAGCGACAGTGCTAACCACTGAGTTACCGTGCCATCCCTACCTACATTAATTATTTAATTCATTCGTTCATTTTTTTTGGGCTTAGTCCATTTATTAATCCGGGGTCACTACAGAGAAATGAACAGCCAACTTATCCAGCATATGTTTTATGCAGCTGATGCCCTTCCAGCTGCAATGAATCGCTGGGAAACACCCATACACTCTTGCATTCACACACATACACTTCGGCCAATATAGCTTATTCAATTCACCGCATGTCTTTGGACTTGTGGGGGAAACAGGAGCACCCAGAGGAAACCCATGCAAACACGAAGATGCAAACTCCACACAGAAATGCCAACTGACCCAGTTGAGGCTCGAACCAGCGACCTTCACCCCTACACATTCAATAACATATTATTATATTCTTTGTATCAGTCATTGTTTAAAAATGTTCTCAGTTTTATAAGCTCTACAAACATCAAGTGTGTCAAAATGTCTTGAATGGTATATATTATGCAGGGAAACGGCAAGTGTTCTGAGTACGTGCCACAGCTTCAGACCCACAGCTGTTGACACAACAGGCCCAGATGGTTTTGATTTGCTGATTGGTTCATTGTGACGGCTCTGGCTTTGGATGGTGTTTCTGTCAAGGTGCTAGACATCAACATTTCCAAAGGCTGTCAGTGACAGGCCATGACTCACCTTAGCATCCGTCTATAGATATACAGCAAGTGCCTTTTCAAGGCCAGGGAAGCTGTGGATTAGTAAACGAGAAGGGAAAATGAATACATTAACCTATATATAAAAATAGGGAAAACCTTCAGACAAGGAATGTGTCTGTTTTATCCTCTTTGGGAGCATTGTGTTTTCATTATTTCTGAAACAATACCTTATTCATAGTTATTCATGATTCGTTTGAATCAATTTGAAAATATCCAAACATGCATTAAAACGAAACTACAGGTCATTCATACTGATGCTCTGTGTTATTTCAGATTGTTCATTAAAAAGACTAAGAAGATTTGAGATATTCACCTTATTTTTCAACTTTGAAGTAAGCAATTTGAAGTAAACATACAAGTGTATGAGACACTTAACTTGATAGTAAACAATAAAACGATCTGCACAACAAGATAATATGCTTATAATTATACAGTATTACAATTTATCAAGCAGATTTGTTTTGTAATTCAATTCAGTTCTTTATTTCTATAGCGCTTTCACAACGTAGATTGTGTCAAAGCAGCTTAACACAGAAGTTCTAGTAAATTGTCAGTCCAGTTTTCAGAGTTGAAGTTCAGTGTAGTTCAATTCAGTGTGGTTTCTCAATTCTGAAAGTCCAAACACTTCTGAGCAAATCCATCGATGCACAAATCCCAAACCAAGCAAGCCAGTGGCTACAGTAGCGAGGAACAAAACTTCCCCAATTGACGAAAAGTGAAGGAAAAAAGCCTAGAGAGAAACCAGGCTCAGTTGCCATGACCATTTCTCTGGCCAAGCTTCTTGTGCAAACTGCAGAGCTGGAGAACGCTGGATGTCTATTGTGTGGAAGCTGCAGGTGTGAGAAGGTCACCGGTGTTCAGTCTGACCCACGGGATCAATGTCTTGTCTGTCATTGGGGTCTTTCAGGTATCGGTCTTATCCTTTCCTCTCCTCCATGACCACCGCAGCCTCTGCTCAGGATACGGCCAGGTCCTGGATTATGGAGTCCTCTATGACTGCCATCATCAAATATGTACAAACTCAGTAGAAACATATACATCTCACGACAATTATGAACAAATAAAACTAAAATAAAATGAGAAAAATTATATTAAGAATATATAATCAAAGTATAAACAGTTGCCAGGGGTAAAAATAAATAAATAGGTAAGATAATAATAATAATAATAATAAAAACATTTAAATAACCAAATAAAATGTACATAATGCTTCATGTTTTTTTTTTTTATTAGCTTTTTTGGTTTCTAATGTTACACAATGTAGTACCACATTGTAACGCTCATCATCCCACCACCACTGACCAATCATTACCAACTATACATTTCTGGAAAGGTCTAAGACTTCTGACTGCACATTTTACCTACATTTTTTATGTTATGTTATGTTATGTTATGTTATGTTGTCTTATGTTGTCTTATGTTGTCTTATGTTGTGTTGGAAGAGTATTAGATTAAAACACATTTAATGTCAACCTACACCTGTGGGACCTTTTACGGTTACATTTTAAAGCTCTAATTATTGTAGTCTAAACCCATGATATAGCAATGATGACTAACTGTATTTAACTCTATTAGATATTACTGAGTAACTGTTATTTATTAATTTGCAACACGGATACTTATCAGAGTCGTAAAGCAGTTAATAATAAAATAAGAGTTAAATTAATAAGTGATTTTCTATCTTTCTTGAACACAAATGCGTTAAACTCTGCCAGCAAAATTGCATTCCCGTCTTTAAACACACTGAACATAAACAACAGCATCAACTCCAGTTATACTGCAAAAATAAGATTAATGGTGCATTAACGAACTGATAAAAGCCACCCCTGTGACTTTAAATCCATTGTGTAGGGATCCACTATCGCTCACTGACACAGTAGTAAGTGTGACGCCTACCGTTCAGTGCGCGCACTCGTTTCAACCTCTCGCTGGAGCTGCGCCTGATAGTGTCTAGTACACATAAACACGCGGATTTCTAGGTTTGTAATTAGTTTTAAAAGCTGGGAAATGGACCAGAAAGACACAGAGATGAACGAAAAAGGAGTTTCTTCTTCTACCAGCGGAGTTGTTGTTCAAGTGAGGGAGAAGAAAGGACCTTTGCGCGCTGCCATCCCTTATATGCCTTTCCCAGTTGCTGTCATCTGCCTGTTTCTCAACACATTTGTGCCCGGACTGGGTGAGTACGAGAACGGGCGATTCGCTCGTTCCAACACAACCTCCTGCCTGATATAACAAAGGTTTGTGTCTTGTGCGTAAGTGCGAAAGAAATAAACTACATTCCTTCAACAAGTTTTTTCAACGCGCGCTGCAGCTCAGTTTAATTTGGCTTGCATCTTAGACGCGTGTAAATCTAGGCTATATGAATTATTATAAGCTTCAATACACAATAAAGGTAAAGTTCGTTTTATATTCGCACATTCAGACTTTCTCCTTAAAATTACATATTTTCAGAAAAGGATTGCAAAATCCAAAAAGGGAAATCATATTACCTGCCAATTAGGCTACCATCTAAGTACTAATCTGTTCAAAGTCAGTTAAATGGTACTAATGTTGTTTATAAGTCTTACTTAAATGGGATTTCAGCTTAAATGTTCAAATTAGCGCGGAAAACAATATAGGGACAGACCGTTCAAAATGAATGAATGTGCGGAAATAAACCCAACTTTACCTCAATCAAAACACCTGCATTTGAAAACAAATTACCGCGTTTTTCCACCAAACCATATACTGTGATTTGTTCTGAATTATTATATTTTTGATCTTGACACATGTTTTTGTATGTTATTTGGTCTACTCTACTTTTTATGGATGTTTTTCACTGGAGACGCCTACAGTTACTTGCTTTCAATTTCTGAATTAAAATCTATTTTTATATTTTTTGAGGGGCATATGTCAAACATGTGGGTGGCACAAGAAGAAAACAGTCTCTACAAAAGCTGTAATTCTCAAAAAAGCATAACACTTGAGTGGGTTGGTTAATCTTTATTCATTGTTTATTTGTAAAATAAACAGTTAATCAACTTTGTATTAAAAAATCTGAAAGTATTCTCTAGCACTTTACATTGCTGGCTTCGAAGTAGGGCTGGGCGAAAATGTAATCTGGATTAATTACTTTCCTTATTGAACATATATTTCTGTTAATGCTTCCATATTTGAAAGAGTACCCCAACAATGACCGAAGCCACAAAAATTAGAGGGTCCATTAAATAACAACCTATTTTTGATGGGTGATAATATTTGGTGGCTGAAAATTCAGTGCATCTCTAATATCAACACACTTCTAGATTCCCATTGTTGCACATTTCTGCTGTGTGATTGGCTCTTAGATCAATATAGAGTAAGACGTCCAGAGCTTCGATATAATATAGTTTTTCAGCCCAGCTCTACTTTAAAGCCATCTGGAAACTATAAATGATCATCTGTCAAATGTCAAAGATAACAATTTAAAGGTGAGACCCTGTCATTGTTTGCAAAATAACAATATTCGCTGTGCCCACTGACCTAGAAATGTATGTCTAAAATTGTTAACCTATATATAAAACTGAACTAATTGATGTAGCAATAGTTTTAAAATCTATCTTTTTTTCTGTATTTTGTCTTTTTTGGTACTGTTTTGTTTGCCTTTTTTGTCTTTTATAGTTGTTGTTGCTTTTTGCATTGCTCTGTGTTGCTTTAAGGTCAAAATGAAAATGTAATATCCAAAAAATAAATAAATAAATAAATCCCAAAATATGTGAACTAAAAATGCTATACTTTCCCATTTCATACAATACATAAAATTAGTATTATTTAAATATCTCTAACAACCATGCATGCATTTTGAATATTACTGTTATTTAACCCTTTTTTCTAATTCAGTCATAAAGAACTAAAGGATACTTGGAGAATCTGGACACAAGTGGAATTAGGTCAATCTTCAATGGGAGCTGTTTTTATGTATTTATTTTTTATTCTCAGTAATAGATCCATAATGTGCATATGCAAGCATACCAGAACACTTAATCAAGACGATCATAAATAATTGCATCCACTCCATTACCCTGATTGATAACTTGACCTTTTCTCCTTCCTTGCTGGTTCGTTCATTTATCTCAATATTGTAATTTCCACCTTCATTCTCATTTTAGTTTGGTCTGTGCAATTGATAATCTTTAGTATTCTGGCACTTGTGTGATCTGCTTCTCCTTTGATCTAGCAAGCCAATAGACTATGCCATGAAGATGTCTTCAAAGAACAAATGTGATGCTTTATTTCACTTTAAGGATTGTAGTATCACTCCATTAAATGCATTAGATGCATAGATGGTAGCTCCTCTGCTAGGTATAAAAGCAAATATGGCAAAAGTATATTGATCTCCCGCATGTCTAATAATAAGTCTGGGAAGCATGACCCCTGGGATTATGCATCTATAAAATATGCTAGAAAAGGCAACAAAAGAGTCACAATCCTGATTTTTTTGCTTCAAAGTCTTCACAATATTTCCAAAGTCTATAAGAGCAACAATGAATAAGTGCTGTAGACAAGTTTCAGGTGTGTAAAGTTTAAGAAGGAAATGTAATGTAGTAATGTAAGTTTTTTTTATTTATTTATTTTTATTTATTTTTTTGTGAGTACAGTTAGTGGTATATCCTGAGAGGCAATTGCAGATTAGGAAGTGAAGTGGAGACTAAATAGTTGAGTTAGGGAGTTCATTCCACCAACTGGGCAGATTGAATGCCCAGAATAGATATTTTTAGATATTTTTTAGACTCTAAATTCAAATCAAATACCACCAAACTGCCCATATTTCTTTAGAATTGTATGAAAAGTATGAAAAAAATATATTTAATATAAAATCTTAAAATTTCTCAAAACATAGGGGGTGGTAGATACGTTTTCTATTTCCAATACAAAAGAGTCAGTCATTGCATTGCTAATGAGAGTGTAATGTTAAAAAACAACAATATGGACGATGATCAGATATTTATTTTTTGTGGACTTCCTTTTTTTAACTTGCTAATAAACAGTGATTAAATAAATAAATAAATAACACAATTCCACTTAGCCAGCTATGGAAAAACTGGTAGCCGCATATGCACTACCAGTCCTGCAAAGCTTAGCAGAGTTTACAGTTCATGTCTAAAAACTGCATGGAAAATGTGAAGTGTGAAACTATACCAATTTCAGTGCACTCATGAAACAAGTTTTATTTATTTTAAAAATGAAAAGGTGCATCAATAATCAGTCTACTATTATTACAGAAATGTGTATAATCCATTCAAATGTTTGAAGCTGATTGGTTGATTCTTGTCACATGATAAGCAGTGCGCTTGTGGTATTCTGACAAAGTTGAAAAATGTTCGACTTGCACTAGGAAAAAGTAATGTCTGCATCTCATCACTTTTCCACCCTACAAGTGTATTGGAGGTCAGCTAGTAGAAGTTGTGTGGGTAAACCTGGCCTCAAATAGTTTATTGGCAATGATCATCTAGCTGCTGTCTTTAATATTCTTGTCCACCTCTTATGCCAGAAATAGCCATTTGAATCTCGCTTGGAAGGGTGTTAAGAGTTCAAATGAAGAGGTTACATTGGTGCCATGACCCAGGTGGGTGTGAGGTTAAGCGGGGTGAGTGTAATGGTGGATAGCTTGTAGGAGCTTTGTCAGTAAACTGACAAGGCATGGAACGATAACTGGTTTCAAGGTTTACCGTGGTTTGGATATGTCAAGGTTTTAAAATGCCAAACTTTTCTGTTATACCATTCCTAAGGTTTGTGTAAGTTGTTTTTGTTTTATTGCATGTTTTTCACAATTTTATTAAGGTTTTTAGGGCAACAGTATCTCTAGCAGAAAAGAAACCTCTACATCAAAAGCTACTGGTCCAAAATATATTAGCTGTTTCTTAAAATAGAATATATTTTGTTCAATAGGGAAAAAATTGTTGTTTTTTACCCACACATTTAAGAAGAATTTATATTTGAGCAGTAATCACAATACCGTGAAACCGTGATATTTTTATCCAAGGTTATGATACCGTCAGAGTGTTTTTACACCAGCCTTATTTAGTTCGGTTAAATCACACTAGAGTTTGTTTTCCCTCTTGGTGCGGTTCATTTGGGCAGGTGTGAATGTAGCAATCGCACTCAAGTGCGCACCAAAAGTGGACTAAAAAAGCGTATCAAGACCTCCTTGAAGAGGTGATCTCGTTATGATTTCCTCCAAACACTTGGGTGGTTAGTTTTTTTAGTGAGAACATGATCTGAACTAGAACAGACCTAACTGCAAAAAGTACTGCGCCTTTTAGACTAATCCAGTTGCTGTAGTCCGATGCGCTCTGCATTATGGGATGTGGAGGAAAAATATTTGTTGACAGCGCTTTACCAACAATTTTAAATAGAGAGAGAGAGAGAGAGAGAGAGAGAAAGAGAGAGAGAGAGAGAGAAACATTAACTGATGGATTGTTGGTAATATTTCTGGAAGATGACCATGTCACAGACAGTTTAGCTTAAATTATTCACGCCTCCTCCTGAAGAGACGTGCGATGCACCTTTGCTATTTGCAGTGCATTAAAGCATTGTTTTCCAGTCGCAGCCATGCTTCATTCTCAAAATGTATAGTATGTCTAAAGTGATGTATACAAACTAAATAGTTTACTATGACCAGGGATACAGTCAACCCAAGCAGTCGTCCCTCAATAGTAAAAAGCGACATTTTTCGTCTGCTGGTTTGTTTACTGGCGGGAGTTCCATTGGCATTTCCCCGCATGTTAATTCTGACCAATCGAAAAGCAGTTTAGGAAATGCGTTCAATAACATCTGGCCAGTGATGTGGATTTTGTCACATGACTGCATTTTGGTTTCTTTCAGCTGGTTTGGACCAAAGCAATCAGTGTGATGTGAAAAGAACCCAAAACGCCAGAGAAAAGCTACAATGTATCATTTGTTGCCCTTGGTCTGGACCAAATGAACCGAACCACAATTGTGAAAGCACCTTTATAAAGGCCCATTACTATTTAGAACAAGTGCAGATACATAAGCTGTAAAACAATCACAGCCCTCCTCTGAATAGGGGACTCTAGGAGGTTATTTTAATTTAAAGAGACAAACAAACAGTGTGTGTTTCTTTTATTTCTTTTTTTTTACAGTATGGTAAGATAAAAATATTTATTAAGTATTTTGAGCTACAACTTTACACAAATG